GGTTGGTTCAATCCAGTGTAAGGCTTTTTGTTTGCTTGCTGTCAGGTAAGGTGAGACCAAGGCTGTGGCTTTCACCTGCACAGGTTGCATTGAGAGTGACCTCTCATATGAATCCTCTGTTGCGGGACACGATGAGGACTCCTACTGAAGGTCTTGCCGTGGGTTCTGTGATTCCTGAAGCCTTCCTAACACTGGCCACATCCTCAGGCGCATTCCAGTATGACTTGTGAGGCTGAACGAGAGAGCTACTCCTTGGGCCTTTTCCACAGCAATCACATCCCCATGGTTTCAGATTTCTCAGATGTAATTACTTGGTGTTAGAACTTTTTCCATGACTAGATTTTTTTTGGGTCCAGTATGAATTCTCTCAAAACTGACTGAATCAGACCAGAAGCCTTTCCTGCTATGGTCATATTCCTCAGATTACGTCTGTTTGAGTCGTCATGTTGAAAACTCGTGAAGAGGACTAACTCCGTTCAGTCTCTGCATGGTAGTCTCCCATGTGTAGAGAAGGATTTTCTTCTCTTCCAACAAAATTCTCATTTTTTTCCCCTACTAATGTTAGTATTCCTTTGAGAGTTGCCACATTCATATTTGTAGGGCTCATCTTCTGCTTAATTTCTTGACAAATCAAAAAAGTTCAATGTCCTGCAAGCTTTCCTACAATCATGACCTTCAAAACAGTGTCTTCATTCCATTGCTTTCCTAAGGGTTAAATCTAAATTATGTGTCAAGTTTTCTACTCGAACCACACATATGGCAAAATCTTCTTTAAAGAACACTGTGTGATGGTTGAAGATCTGAGTGCCATCAAATATTTCTCCACATATGCCCTAGCCAGTTTTGATCAGTGGATAAAGCATCCGCCTGCAGACCAAAGGGTCCCGGGTTAGATTCCGGTCAAGGGCATGTACCTTGGTTGCAGGCTCCTCCTGGGTGAGGGCCCTGGTCAGGGCTCATTCAGGAGGCAACCAATAGATGTGTTTCTCACACATCAATGTTTCTCTCTGTCTTTCCCTCTCTTTTTCACTCTCCCTAAAAAATCAATAGAAAAATATCTTTGGGTGAGGATTAACAACAAAAAAACAACAACAAAATATTTCTCCACATTCCTTATCTTCACATCTTTTCAAATCAGCACCTACATGAAGATGAATGCCCTCTGTCTCAAGTGTTTACCATTTCCTTCTACTTCCACCAACGCCCATGCTGCCATTGTTGCAATCATGGGGAGCCAGAGGGGCATGTGAGTTGAGCTGTGTCAGAAAGGCCTGGTTTCCACTCATTCCCCATCCTCCGAATGAGCTATAGCAGTATTGGGAGAAAGTGGCCACTGCAAGAGATGGCTGTCTCCTCTAACAGTAAAGCATGCCATTCCAAACGCCTATGATTCCCATGTTTTTAATACATTGCCCGGGCCTCCTGAGGTTCAGACAGGTGCACTCAACTTACAAACTTCTAAGTCCCCTCTCATTCATAACTCATTAACAGAATGGGTCAAGACATGGGACAATTCCAAACCCTTGAATTTAGGTGAAAGTTACTAGGGAGTTCTTTGTACTCTTCATGAAACTCTTTTGTTTAAAAAATTATTGTTATTATTATTATTATTTATAAGTGCCCTTGACAGGAATTGAAGGCAGGACCCTTTGGTCCATAGGCTGACACTCTATCCACTGAGTCAAACCAGCTAGGGCAAAAAAGTATTTCAACATAATAAGAAAAACAAAACCTCTATTTTTACCCTTCAAAAACCTATGCCTTAACCAGACTTCCCCGTGTCACTGCATAATGCCAAAAGTTCTTCTTTATTGTATTTTAAGAATGAGATACAAAAAGAACTTATATGGTAAATACACATGTAACAAAGACTAGTCACAGGAAGTTCCTGGAAGCCTTTGCCTATGGGATTGCCGGCAGGCTGCCCCCTTGGTCAGTCACTCGCCCAGCCCACTGCGTCCACCTCTGAATGGGAGAAGCACCATGCCAGCCCCACGACTGCTCTCTCAGGCCAAGTACCATCACCTCTTCCCCAGATGCTGCCTCGGCCACGGCTTCCAGCTGCCTACCACCGTTCTTTCTTCACAAGCCCCCGAATATGGGTAGCTGCTACAGTGTTTTGGACAGGTTCAAGCCTTGGACTGAGGAGAGGGCACAGTCGTCTCATTGCCACGTGCAAGTCCCAGCTTGGAGGGCAGAGCCTTCCCAGCGCAATTAGCCAACAGCTATAGCTTTAAGCTTGAACCTGTGGTCCAAACACGTGGCCCCATGTGTCTGAGTGATAGAGTTCAGGTGCATGCAGTTGAGTAGGGCTGAAACCAACGAGAATGTTGTAAACATCTTGATCACTCCCCTACTTTGCCTCATGGCATCTGCTATAAAATAAAGACACGGCTTGTGGTCGCTGTCTCTCTCCATCAGAGAGGGCAGCGTCCCACCGAGACCCAGATTTTGTTCTCATGTCTGTCTTTTCTAAGCCTTTCATCAGCCCCACTCGGTTCACCCTTGGCCGTGCCGGCGTGGCACACCCGAATATGCCAAGCTCCAATCTGTCACCCCAAACTCTGTCTCCATGCCTGGAAGCTCTCTCCTAACCGGTTTGGCTCAGTGGATAGAGCGTCGGCCTGCGGACTGAAAGGTCCCAGGTTCGATTCCGGTCAAGGGCATGTACCTTAGTTGCGGGCACATCCCCAGTAGGAGGTGTGCAGGAGGCAGCTGATTGGTGTTTCTCTCTCATCGATGTTTCTAACTCTTTATCCTTCTCCCTTTCTCTCTATAAAAAATCAATAAGATATATTTTTTAAAAAAGTCTGCAGAATCCCCCCTCCACGCCCCCCCCCCCCAATCAGCTTGAATATCACCCCAGTGTCCCAGACCACCTCCTGTGGAATAATCCCCACGCTCCCTTTACACCAGGCCCTTTCCCTCAGGACGCACCATATTTATGTGAGCATGGTCCCATCTGTGCAATTTGTCTGCAGAAGCTATAAACTACCAGACCACAAAGTCCACGACGGCACCACCAGAGTGATTAATGCCCTGCACAAGACACAGGAGGGCTTCCACGGTGCTGTGAGGTGAAGGGACTCTGACATCAGAGGAGCCAGGCACCGTCCCTCAGGGACACACACAGACAGGACCTGATGGCAGAGGAGCCAGGCGCTGTCCCCTGACGCCTGGCCAGGGCGAGTGTCCTGGTGAGCCTCCTGCACATGGTCTCTGTGCTGGCACAAGCCCTGATCCTGTCTCCCTTGGCAGCTGGAGTCATCAAACTCCTAGGTCAGGCTGAAGTGCATTCAGGAAGGTCTGGCCCCTCAGGACCAAATCAATGGGGGAAAAATATCCTCAGGTTAGGACTGGAAACAAACAAAAAAACTAGTTCATGATAAACAGGATGTTTCCAATAAGTGGAAGAACCTAGACTGAAAATGGGCGCTGAAAGAACACCTGCCCTACGCTATACAACATGAAAAAATGCCAGACAAGTAAAACAGCTAAGAAAAAAACCAAAGAAACTAGGAAACAAAACAAAAATACTTGTATAACCTACCTATGTATGATATAGAGCCTAGAACAGGAATAAAAATAAATAAATCCTAAAATTTATTTTTTTTACTCCTCACCAGACAAATATTTTTTCCATTGATTTTTTAGAGAGTGTAAGGGAGGGGGAGAGACAGAGAGAGAAACATCGGTGGGGGATCAAACCTGCAGCCCAGACAGGTGCCCTGGACCTGGAATCAAACCTGCAGCCCTTTGGGGCAAGGCCAACACTCTAGCCACTGAGCACACCAGCCAGGGCTTAAAGGATTTTACACAGCAATTTGTTGCTACCACTTTCAGCTTACATCTTGGTTGATTCTCAAGTTCCATTTCTATAAATCCTACCTACAAGAAAAACCAACCTGAATGTGCCCAAAAATAAAATGTATACAAGGAATTTTTTTTCCAACAACTTGAATGTCCATCAAGAGAAAAATTAAATATGAACTATACTGCATCTTTTAAAATGAAGCAGACCTGTATTAAGAACAACCCAAAATATAAACATATACAAATGTCCCTCAACTTAGGGATGGGTTATGTCCCAATAAACCCATCCTAAGTTGAAAATATCCTAACTTGAAAATGCAGTTAACCCAGCCTACCTTAAACACACTCAGAACACTTCCATTAGCCCACAGTGGGGCAAAATCATCTAACACGAGTGCGGAACGTCTGGCCCACAGGCCTTATCATTTAGTCTGGCCCTGTCAAGGCATTAGGGGTGAGTTCATCAAATGTTTGACCAAATATAGCAGGTTAGTTTTTAAGTGGATAATTTTGTATGGCCTGAGAATGATGTTATAAATATCTAAATGGTCCCTGGCAGAAAAAAGTTTTCCCCACTCCTGATCTAACACAAAGCCTGCTTGATAATAGTGTTGAACATCTTAAATTGTTAAATACTATACTGAAAGCACCACCATAAAGTTAAAAACTTATTTCAAACTATAGTTGAGTAGGGGACAGTATTCATATACATATATGTAAACATAAAAAGGAAAGGCTGGTGTGGTTCAGTGATTGGAGCAGCAGTCGCCAACTGGTGGTCTGTGGATTAGACTGTCTTGAGGGTTCGATTCCTGGTCAAGGGCACGCACCTGGGTTGCAGTTCACTCCCCACCCCTGGATAGGGCGTATGTGGGAGGCAACCAGTTGATGTCTCCCTCCCTCTCTCTCTGAAAAGCAATGGAAAGAATATCCTCAGGTGAGGATTAATAAAAAAAAAAAAAAGCCTGGCCAGGGACACACACCAGTTAGTGGTGGTTACATGAGGGGAGAGCAGTCGAAAATGAGTGGAGCCAACCGACCACCAGCCCCAGGTTCACGTTCAACCAAGCAGCACACCCTGACCCTGAGGCCGCTGCATGTCTGCAGACACTCACCCCAGCACCCCACCCGGTTCCCTGTCCAGTCAGCCCATTCCCTGCCAGGACTCCCGCGTGCCTGGCTCTCACCTGAAAAGGTGTCTTGAGGAATTCCTCTCTCCACCGACCAGAGCTCTTCCTCCTCCTCTAACCGAGACACCACCTCTGGCTTAGAAAGCTGATATTCTGCCCAAGGGAAGAGAGACAGGGCTTGGGGGTCTGCGCTCGGGAGAAAATGCTTTCCTGCTGTGGCACCTGGTCTCCTAGAAAGTGACTTCGGTCTAGGGCAGTGATGATAACCCGCCCACCGCCTGTGTCTGCTGCTGCTTGCTTTCCGGGACCCCCTTCCTGGTAAAGCTGGCAGTAGACCCAGTTCTGGCCAGCAAGTCATCAGGGGAAGTGTGTCAGAGGGGCCATAGGGCTTTTTCTCTTTTGCTAAATACAACAGCTGTGAAAACAACACCAGCCGGGGCTGCCCATCCCCTTCGTCCTGCTTTTAACAGGAAAGTGATGCGTGGAGCCATGATGCAGTTACCCAGTTACCGACCTGAGAGTGGAAACGTTCACCCTAACCCCAGAGATGGAAGGGGTCGGGGTCTGGGACGCCACCCCTGAGCTGCTGGACGCGGACACCATGCCCTCTGGAATTCAAGGCCTCTGAGGGGTGGGCTAGGTGACGCTTGCTTCCGAACTCACAGGCAAAGATGCCCTTTACCCAGGGGTACAAAATAAAGCCCTCTCCCCCAAGCTCTGGGCCTCGACTCCTGCACTCTGACCCCTGCAGCCTGAGCCCAAGCAGACACACGCACGTCAGCGGCACCACAATCGAGCAGCAAAGCGCACATCTTTATCGACACGGAGGCCGGGCTTACCCACGGAGGCCAGGTTCCTGTAGTTCTCCAGCACCACCTGTCTGTACAGGGACTTCTGCTCAGGATCCAGCAGTTCCCACTCCTCCGGGTCAAAACCCATGCTCACATCTTCAAAAGCCACCGGTTCCTAAAAGCCACAGGTTCCTGTTCAGCTGGGGCGTGTCACCTCTCCGAGTGACAGGACAATGTGGGGGGCTGAGGACGGGCAGGCACAGGCTACCAGAGGACCGGAGAGGGTGCCCGGGGTGTCATTGGGTTTTCCTGCGTCCGCCTGACTCTGAGCAATCCCAAGCTGGACTTCACTCAGGCCACACGGCTGAAGAGGGTTCTTTTTTTTTATTTTATTTTATTGCTTAAAGCATTACAAAGGGTATTACATATGTGTCCTTTTTTTTCCCCGCCCTTGACAATACCCCGGCTTCCCCTACCCCCCAGTGCCTTATGTCCATTGGTTACGCTCATATGCATGCATACAAGTCCTTCGGTTGATCTCTTACCCCCCTCCCTCCTGCCCCCCTACCCTCCCCGGCCTTCCCGCTGCAGTTTGACAATCTGTTTGAGGCAGCTCTGCCTCTGTATCTATTATTGTTCAAAAGTTTATAATGGTCTATATTATCCATGAATGAGTGAGATCATGTGGTATTTTTCCGTCATTGACTGGCTTATTTCACTTAGCATAATGCTCTCCAGTTCCATCCATGCCGTTGCAAATGGTAAGAGTTCCTTCTTTTTTACAGCAGCATAGCATTCCATCGTGTAGATGTACCACAGTTTTCTAATCCATTCATCTACTGATGGGCACTTAGGCTGTTTCCAGATCTTAGCTATGGTGAATGGTGCTGCTCTGAACATATGGGTGCATATATCCTTTCTGATTGGTGTTTGAAGAGGGTTCTTGATGTTCTTAAAGCCCGGTGGTTCTCAACCTTGGCTGCACTTTAGAATCATATTGGGAATCTTTTTAAAATCCTGATTTCTGGGCCTCATCCTCCGGAAATTCTGTTTCTTTGTTATGGGGTGGGGCCACAACATTAGGAACAAAGAAACAATTTCCGGAGGTTGCCCAGAAATCAGGATTTTAAAAAGATTCCCAGGTGATTCTAATGTGCAGCCAAGGTTGAGAACCACTGTTAAAGCCTCCCCATTCCTTATGAATCTAGGGTTTCCAACACTGGTGTCAGGGTGTCTGTCTCCCCCCTAGGGGAGTCCCTGCGCTGAATCCTGGCACCCCAGCCTGCAGCCCCCACCCCCTGCCCGCACTGCTTCTACTTCCTTCAACTGCCAAGGAGCCACCTTTCCTAGTGGCCCAGCTCATGTTACCTCTAGCTTTGCTGCTAGCTGGCGGTTGAAATCTAAAAACGAGTGTGATCGGCTTGGTGGGCGTGGCTCAGTGGTCGAGCATCAACCCATAAACCAGGAGGTCAAGGTTGGATTCCTGGTGGGGGTACACGTCCAGGGTTTCAGGCTCCATCCCCAGTGCGGGGGCATCAGGAAGCAGCCGATCCATGATTCTCACTCATCACTGATGTTTCCATCTCTTTCCCTCTCCCTCCCTCTCTGAAATCAATACAAATATTTTTAAGAAAATAAAAATTAAATATGAAAAATATAAATAAATAGGAGTGTGGTTGGCCTGGCCGGTGTGGCTCAGTGGTTGTGCATTGTCCCAGGAACCAAGCGGTCAGAGTTCGATTCCTGGGTGTTTCAGCCCGATCCCCAGCAGGGGGCGTGCAGGAGGCAGCCCACCCCTGGTTCTCTCTTATCACTGACGTTTCTATCTCTTCCCCTCTTCCTCCCTCTCTGAAATGAAGAAAAATATACTTAAAAATGTGTACAGTGGGGCCTTGACTTTCGAGTTTAATTCGTTCGGAGACCAAGCTCGTTAAGGAGCTCATTAAGGAGCTCGTTAACTCAAATTACTCTATCAACTCAATGCAAAAAATCGGCCGAGAGACAGCTGGTATCTCAAAAAACTCGTTAGTCAGGACACTTGTAAGTCAGGGCCCCACTGTATATTAAAACATATATATGCCCTAGCTCAGTGGTCAGCAAACTCATTAGTCAACAGAGCCAAATATGAACACTACAACGATTGAAATTTCTTTTGAGAGTCAAATTTTTTAAACTTTAACTATACAGGTAGGTACATTGTTATTAACTTCATGAGGGTACTCCTAAGGCTTAGGAAGAGCCACACTCAAGGGGCCAAAGAGCCACATGTGGCTCTCGAGCCGCAGTTTGCCGACCACAGCCCTAGCTGGTTTGGCTCCATGGATAGAGTGTCGGCCTGTGGACTGAGGGGGTCCCAGGTTCGATTCTGGCTCGATTCCCAGTGGGGGGTGTGCAGGAGGCAGCCCATCAATGATTCTCCCTCATCATTGATGTTTCTCTCTCTCTCCCCCTCTCCCTTCCTCTATAAAATCAATAAAATATATTAAATAAAACCAGACAAAAAACTATACACACACACACACACACATATACTAGAGGCCTGATGCACGAAATTCGTGCAAGGGGTTTGGCCCCTAGCAGCCCCAGCTTCACCCGGAAGGTCGTCTGGAAGGACACCCGGAAGGTCGTCTGGCTGTCCAGTCTAATTAGCATATTATGCTTTTATTATTATAGATTATTATTATTATTATAGATGTATTAGAATCCCAGTTAGGGACCTCATAAGTAACACTCCTTTGGGAAGCTAAGCACCTGCGGCCCCTCCCTCCACTCAGCTCTCCCGCCCCCGGGCTCGAGGCCCCAGGGGCACCCCACCCCCGACCGCTCCCCCCCACTCCCCCATTCAGGGCTCGGGTACCCTAAAACCTAAGGAGGCCCCTACTCACATGCAACCAGGCCATGGGAAGCCCGGAGCCATGCCTTCCTCTCCGACGCGGATGGCGGTAACCGGCGCAGTCCTAAGAGGA